CGGGCGGCGAGGGGCCCTGCCCGGGCGAGGGGAGGAGAGGGACGTGCAGCCATGGGCCCTGCCCAGGAGAGGAGAGGGACGTGCAGCCATGGACCCTGCCCAGGCGAGGAGAGGGACGTGCAGCCATGGACCCTGCCTGTGCAAGGGCAGGAGAGGGACGTGCAGCCATGGGCCTGGCCCAGGCGAGGCGAGGGCCATGCAGCCACAGACCCAGCCACGTGCTGCTCTCCTGGCGGCCCCCTCAGCCATGCCTCCTGCCGTGTGCTGCCCGGCTCCTCGTGCCTCTGCGGGGCAGGAGCCCCTAGGGCAGGCTCTGCTCGCTGACCAGGCTCTGCTCGCTGACCCGCTGCGCCTGGGGGCCATGAACGGGTCGCTTACTGGGCTGCAAGGATGAGGTTGCCAGAGTCAATAAAGCTAACTGGTGAACACACAGCGGCTGGATGAGGAAAATATCTATGCTGGTTGTATCTAATCCCTCCTGCTCCTCGGCTCAAGAATTATTTCCTTAAGATGGTTTTCCACCCTGTCCTTTGGTGTATATGACTCGTGTTGTCACAGAATTGGACTGGTTTTTCATTTCAGTTAAACGTTCCTGTAGCGTCCTTCATGCCTGCTTTTCCCAGTCCTGCCCCTTTCCCTCTCTTGTGCGAATCTGCAGTTACTCACCACTCGGCAGCAATGCTTATCAGCAACAGAGCCTCCATTTTAAAAAAGTACCTAGGATATAACTGAGCCTTTTGTTCTTATTCAGTAATTTGACCTCCATTGTAGCAGTAGTTTTACATTTTTCTTCTTTCCACTGCAGATGAAACAAAACTTGCATCCTTCCTTTAGTTAGAGTTGGGGGGCACAGAGAGAGTGTGTCCAAAGACTCAAGAGTTTGAAAGCTGTTTTTTAAACCAAGCTTTTCATTTTGCCAGCTTGCTACAGGGCTTAGTAATTTGGTTGTGCCTCAGGTTACTGCTTTCTGGCTTGCCTCGGTGTGTGTCCTGCATCAGTTTATATCAACTGCAAGTAAATTGGAGCAACCTAATTGTTCCCTTTGTTATGCAACGTGCTTCTCTCTGCTTGGTTTGATTAAAAAAGAAATGCATGAACTGTCATGCAAGCTACCAGTTAAAACAAGTTTGCAGAAGCAGATTGGTAGTTCACAGCTACACGTTATTTCACGTCAAAATTTCCAGGGATCCATTTTAAGTGTTTTGGAGGATAAAACACACCAAAAAAATTTAAACTGGTTCATCCCAATGTAAAAGAAAGAGGGAGGTGAGTTACTAAATGTATTTAAGTACTTGCCCAGAAAATAAGGAAATTAAGAGTTGCATAGGAAATTCTAGTGCAAAGTAGGAATAGTGGAAGTTTCTGCCTTATTAAAGCAGTGCAAGCAGCTTCGATACTTTTGTGTTTGTGGAAATCCTCTGGGGCAGATGGTGCCAAACTGTCTATTTTTCCACTATCCTATTCATAAATGATTAAAAAATAAATTTGTTCTTGGTATCAAAGATGTTGATGTATGAATAAACCTACAGACTAAGTATCTTTGAAGCCTGGTGTCAGAAAATTGGGTTATATGAAAAGAACTGTCTACATTACTAAAGAAACGTTTTTCAAAGTATGAACTTTCTACAAGATGAGGATAATTGTGGTGGTGGTTGGGGGAAATAGCTTAAGAAACCAGCTTTGCCTAGTAGATTGTGGGAATGGCAGCAGTGCAATGTGCCAGCATGAAAGCATGTTTATTCATATCCTTGATTTGTGTTTTTGCTCTGCAGAAACGAACGAATGGAATCAGAAGAAACTCTAGACACGTGGACCCAGGTTTGTGTCATGACTTTTAATAGTTAAACGTTAAATAGAAAGAGTGAGAAAGCTGTAACTCACTTTGTCAAGTTGCATTATGAACGCTGTTGTAATGCATGCAATGTTCAGAACTAACTATTGCTAAAGTCATGAAGGTATAAAGGGATTGCTCTCTGATTTCAGAGATAAGGTCAGCTGACTGAACTCCAGGGTTTTTTTCCTTGTTTTTTTAAGCAGTTCTTCGGTTCTGCCTGAACAACAAAATGCCTCTGGGCTTTTGGTTAACATGACCCACCCTACTGTACGCTGCAGTTTGAAAAGAAACAACTACGTGATGAAAAGCAGACAGTTGCTTGTAAAGCTTAGGTGCTGATCTGCAAAGTTGTGGGTATTCGTAACTCTCCTAACCATAGTGGTGCTCGGGGCTCAGCTGTGTGCAATATGAGTTGCTCTTTTGAAAGGCAGAAACCAATTGCAGTTTTATGTAAAATTTCAAAGGATTTTATTCCTCCTGTTAGTTTATAGTAGGTACCCTTGTGGAATCGGGGCAGCAGCAGCCCTTAAGAAAATGAAATGCTTGCTTATAGGCTGTGTACTTGAGTGGGTGAACGCTTCCTCTGGAGACCCATTATGTGTCTGTATAAAATACTCAGTGGTTTTCAGTGTAACTGTGTGATATTTTTGGTGCCGTTTTTTACGGTAATTACATTTCTGTCCTTTATGTTCCTTGTATAGTTTAATTACTGGAGATTTGTTATGCAGATATTATTTGGAATAAAACTAAGCTATGGATTATGAAATATTTCCAGATTGGGATACCCGAGAATAGTTGGAGTCAAACATTAAACAGGATGGCGACTCTGTGCACCCATTATAGCCTGGCAGAACTAAGCACTTCTCGAGAAGTAGGAATGCTGGTTGTGCCACTAGCATTGCAGCTGCCTGGGCTCTGAGGGCCTGAGTGTTGTAACTCGCTGAAGCAGACCACACCTTTCTTACTCAGTAACTTTGACATGTTTTGGAACACGTATCGGCCCTTCATTCCCTCTAGCAAAAAACATTGCTTCATGGTACCCCTAAATTGTTCCGTGTGTTGTTGACTGAAGCCATTAAGGAAACAAGAAGAAAACAAGCACCCTGTAACTCTGAAAATTAATCAAAGTGTTATAGAGTAATACAGAATAAAATAGAGGGGGAAACATCAAGAATATTAATTAAGTAATGCAGAAGAGGATAAGAATGCTTCTTCCAAGTGGGGCTGTTTGAGTTCTTCCCATTCAGTGGTATATGTTGCGGTGAAGTGTAATGTGCGCTTGCAGAAGAGTCCTTACAGGTCCAGATCTTTAACCATCGCCGTCTCATGCGGGTTCCTAAGAGGTTAAGTAATTGAGCTTTGAGAACCTTTTGAGTGCACTGGTGGTTTTACTTGCTGTTGAAGTCCAGTAGAAGTATTTACATGATCTTTAGAGATGAGTATACTTCAAAACTAGTTTTTATTGAAGGCAAAGCACCATTCAAATCACCAGAGCCATTGAGTTAAATAGATGTTTAAAAGCTGTATGAAACCGATGCCTAAAATATGGTTCTGCTCCCCCCCATCCATTTACCTATGCAGAACTGTTCTTTGAGTTGCTGGGGAAGTCTTACTGAGTGAAGTTCTTGGTCTCTGTTGCATTTTTTGAAAGCCAGTAGAAAAGCAGAACATCTGCGTTATGTTTAGGTCCCTTTATTAGAGAGAGTGTTGCAGAAGACTGTTTCACAGAATTGTTTCTGACATTATAATTTTTAAAAATAAGTAAATAATAGTATAATAATAAAAGTAAACAAAAAAGAAATGGGCATGCTAATGTACTCCATATGTATACTTTGTCAGTTTTCAAATAGAGTGAGATTTTTTATTTGCGTTTTGTCGGCACATGCATTCTGGGTCCTGCTGTACCTTGGTGGAGATAACTTTCAAAGTCATGAATGTCTTTGGTAAACTCCTGGCATCTGTTCTGCGTATTCTGAGTAATATTGCTCATCCTATTGCACACTGACTTGGGAGGCAGAAGATGCTATCCAGAGCGCAGCACGTGTAAGAGGCCGGTTATGTCAGGCATATGGTACTGCATTGATCCTAAGAGCTTTTCAGGAGCACTGGCATACAAATTTCTGGCAATCCTAGCACCAGGGTGCGCTTTTTGCTGAGAAGTAGTCAGAGTCAGAGACTGGAATCTTAATGTGCTGTTTCTTTTTAAATAAACCCCAAAAGTTCCCTGCCCAGACTGGTTTGTCTTTAGGAGGTTTATCGTGCTGCTGCTGCCTGTGTTGCATGTTGGGGTGCTGCAGCATGGGTGCTAGTTTAGGAAGCATGCATTTGCTGTGAATCAGGAGCAGGCACCTGCAGTGTCTTAATACCGATGAAGTTTGATATCAGCAATAAATGCCATTATTTTGGGCTGCGAGTATTTTAGCACAAACCTTTCAACATCGCCTTCTGCCTTGTCTCTCTTTCTGTTGTCTGGCTGTTTTAGTGAAGAATAATGAATGTGGGAGGCATAGCCTAGCCAAGCTGGTGCGCTGTGCTTCTCTTTTTATGCTTGTTAGAGCCAAATCCAGCTTTTACTGACACGGCCCTGAATGAAAAATCATCTAAGTTTGATGAAAAGTACTGTGAGTAGAAGGAGGGTCTAAACAAAACAGTGTGAGGATACTGGATTAAAATATCTTTTGTCTTCCGCTGGTAAAGCTCGTTGCTGGAGGAACATACCCGGCTGAGGTAGAATCATAGAATCATAGAATGTTTAGGGTTGGAAGGGACCACTAGTGGTCACCTAGTCACAGAATCACAGAATCGTAAGGGTTGGAAGGGACCTCAGGAGATCATCTAGTCCAACCCCCCTGCTAAAGCAGGCTCACCTAGAGCATGCTACACAGGACTTCATCCAGGCGGGCTTTGAATATCTCCAGAGAAGGAGACTCCACAACCTCCCTGGGCAGCCTGTTCCAGTGCTCTGCCACCCTCAGAGTGAAGAAGTTCTTCCTCATATTCAACTGAAACCTCTCGTGTTTCAGTTTGCATCCATTGCCCCTAGTCCTGTCGTTGGACACCACTGCAAACAGACTGCTTCCGTCCTCTTGACTTCCGCCCTTAAGATATTTGTATGCATTGATGAGATCCCCTCTCAGTCTTCTCTTCTTCAGGCTGAACAAGCCCAACTCTCTCAGCCTTTCCTCGTAGGGGAGATGCTCCAGTCCCTTTATCATTCTGGTAGCTCTCCTCTGGACTCTTTCTAGGAGTTCCTCGTCTTTCTTGAACTGGGGAGCCCAGAACTGGACACAGTACTCCAGGTGGGGTCTCACCAGGGCAGAGTAGAGGGGGAGGAGAACCTCCCTCGACCTGCTGGCCAACCCCCCTGCAGTGAGCAGGGACACCGCTAACTAGATCAGGTTGCTCAGAGCCCCATCCAACCTGGCCTTGAATGTTCCCAGGTATGGGGCCTCCACCACCTCTCTGGGCAACCTGTTCCAGTGTTTTACCACCCTCATTGTAAAAAATTTCTTCCTTACCTCTAGCCTGAATCTACCCTGTTCTAGTTTAAAACCATTTCCCCTTGTCCTAACACAGCTGGCCCTACTAAAAAGACGTTCCCCATCTTTCCTATAGGCCCCCTTTAGGTACTGGAAGGCCGCAATCAGGTCTCCCCGTAGCCTTCTTTTCTCCAGGCTGAACACCCCCAACTCTCTCAGCCTGTCCTCATAGGAGAGGTGCTCCAGCCCTCGGATCATTTTTGTAGCCCTCCTCTGGACCCGTTCCAACAGTTCCATGTCCTTCTTGTGCTGAGGGCTCCAGAGCTGGACACAGTACTCCAGGTGAGGTCTCACCAGAGCTGAGTAGAGGGGCAGAATCACCTCCCTCGACAAGCAGTACCCTACAAGCAATAAGTTGTTCATGGCTCTTTTGTTTGCTTTTCTTTGAAGTTTGGTTAAAAGTTTTGACAGTGACTGTTTCCTCCTCGGGATTTGCTTTGTGCTGAAGAAGAAGGAAGGGTAGAAGGAGAAGTCATTAATGGATGATGAGCCAGAGAAATTCCTGGGAAAAGAAACAGTTACGAAAAAAGAAATCTGTGCAGAGACTGTACAAAAAGAGATGTGTGCAGAAACTGTACAAGGAAGAAAAAATTGGAAAGCAAAAGAAAATATGGCTTTATGCCGTGCAGTGTGACTTCAGTGACCTGAACTGGTCCATCTGCTAGGTTTTAGGGGAGCAGGTTTTCGATAACCCTTCTTTGGGTTAATCAGCACAGTAAACGCCGTTGAGAGAATGGACCTGTAAATGCATCTGCACCCAGAAAGCCAGGAAAAATTTGGTCTAGGGTTTGTGTAGAAGATCATGATTCTGCTTAAACGTATTTGAGAGGTGATTGGGCTGGTGTCAGTCTGTGCCTGCGGTGGGCGTATGGAGTGACAGTTATATAACAATTTTTAGCTTTTGTAAGCAATGTCATGAAAACTTTTGTGCATGTGTTTGATTTTAAGCACGTGATTTGCACTGTTAACTTAAATGGCAAATGGACCATTCATACGTATATTTGTAAACATAAAGTAAGGCTTTTTATGTTTTCTTGGGAAGGATGATGCAATCCAGCCAATGTTTTTAATAGAAATAATTTTGTATGTTTTTTAATAAGAGTAAAAATGATTTTTTCTTTCTCTTTCTCGGCTATTGCAATAATACAGTCTATGTTTGCTAGCTTTTTATTTTTTTAACAGTATAAAGAGCCCAAATGTGATAGATGCACAGCTTGGTGGTTTTAAAACTGGTTTTACCCTAGCACTTCTGCTAATATAAATATTGGAACTTCAATCTCTAAAAGTGTGAAAGTATATTTCATATCAGAAGGATAAACTTGGTAAAAAATAGAACACTAGAAGCCTTATATTCAAGATTCATTGCAGATTAAACTGAAAATCCGATCTGTGAAAGTGTCACTGAGCATATTCTGACTTCTTAAATAGCTAGTATCTTCCTGAGC